CCCCAAAACCCCAAAACCCCAAAACCCCAAAACCCCAACAATGCATTTACCATTGAACACGTATTAAGGTATTTAAAACTAACCAATGAAATTTATTTTTTCAAGGATTTTGTCAATATTCTGCCTATATAAGAGATGCCCTACTGCCTCATCAGTCACATCATGATTCTCTAATCTCATGCTTCTGGTTTCCTCATTCAATATATCTTGAGCTTGCTCAGAATTTTCTGGACTTATTTCCTCAACTTCCGATTCCAAAATTGGGCCTAGTCCAATGGGATACTTAAACATTGTTGCTCTATACAACTGTAAGATATAATCATTGGTTCAGTATCAGTTCTGGGTGATACCATTAACTACTGATAAAGCTTGCTCCCATTCCTTTGGACTTTCTACTGAGACTGCTCCTCCAAGAAGATACACGTTATTAACTAAACTTTAGATTTTTTACTCACTGATGTAATCACAACTATACATCTCAAGTTCTTCGAGGCAGCTGTATATCACTTGGGTTCCTAGAGAGAATCCGATCAGTGAGATCGAACAGTCTTTGAAAGGAAACTGTGCCATCAGTGAATGAGCCAGGATTCTTCCTGAAATCTTGGCCATCTCAACACTTTCGGTAAAGACTCCTCTAGCTTTAGTGATGATGTCACTTGCTTGGTACATTATACTGACACTTTTCTTCACACCAGAAAATATCATATTCGGGATATTCTGGACTCCTGATTTTACAACGCTTTTTGGGAAGTCCATGTAGCTTGAGGACTTCCATTGAAAGGAATAGATAGGGACTCCTGATTTATTTATGATACCCTTCTATTATTCCTTCCCATGATTCGTGGAAGTCATCGATTTCACTAAGAAATCCTGAGATAGTAATTAGTGCATGCTTATGGTGGACTTTCTCTGGGGTGAGGCATTCAAAGAGAGCTTTAACCTTCTCTAAAGTGTCATTATTAACAAGAGCATGAACAGATTTATGATTTATAAACATTGGGAAGTAACCTCTGCCTACCATTTTCCTTAATGATTCTCTTGGAATCCTTCAAGATGCGCTTGAAGAAACTTTTGTCAAGAATTGTTCCTTTTACTTCTCACTCTTTAGCCATATCAGCACTGTATTGAGCCAGAAGATCGGGGTATTTTTCCATATGGTTAACGAATTTTATGTAATCAACTGTTCACTTGCTTTCAGGAACCAGGAAGCTTTGGTATCAATCTGAGGAGAACAACTCTATAATATGTTAACCAGGACTAAAGAGTTCTACCTTCATTTTCATGAAAGAATGTTCTGTACATCTTCTTTTGAAGCATCAAGAATAAAATTTTGGCCTTATCTAGTGGATAAAAGCTACTAAGAAATTTTGAGAAGTAGTAATCCAGAGAGGATTGGCTCACCTACAGTGATAAAGTTTATATCAAAATTACTTGAGAAAGCACAGCATTTTTGTCATCTACAAGCCCAAGAAGATACACTGATATATTCCAGATTATGTAAAAGAGTTCGAAGTCGCTAGTATTCTTGAGTAAGTCTTCTCGAATCTCCTTTATCTTCTGCTGGTAGTCCCATCAAGACATTCTGTATCTCTGGCTTCTCTTACCTATAATAATTAGTCACTCATCGAGAAGATCTTGAAGGAAATTTTTGTCAAGATTTAAGTTCGATTTTGGATGATATTAACTTACTTGACTCAAACTCTTTATGTGCAATTTCAAATATTTCAGAAGCATCTCCTCCCTGTTCTTCGACTAATCAAGCATACCAGTTCACTAGTGCATGGTAACATTTTTGAATCTTCTTAGCTTCTTCCTTAGATCTTGGATCTTGGCAGATTAAAAAGAAGGCAAAAAACCCAGTAATTTGGGAATTATTTTGCTGAGTGATTGATGGATCCCAGAACTCCAGTGGCCTAAAAATTATAATCCCTCCTAGATTACCTATCTTTTAGGAATGATCTCCAGTTATCGGTGAAGTCCTCGATATTATCGGGGCTACTACCTGTCCCTAGGTAGCTTTCGATAGAAATTTGAGCTTCTTTTTGCAGCCTATCACATGAGTAAATTTGAATTCATTTTGGCAAGAAAGGAAACTCTGAGTTAATTTTTTCTATCAAACTCCTCTTATGAGCCTTGATCAAAGATCTCTTCTTGTTCGAGCTGAGCGATTGATCTGGAGAATGCTGGATGAATGCCTTGATGCCATCTTGTATTTGGGTAATTTCGTCTTGAATGTAAGTTATCAAAAGAGAATTAGTTAATGCAAATTTCTCAGAATGCCTCATTTCAAGTTTGTTGACGATCAATTTATCTCTCATTTTGGTCAACTCTTTCTTAGTGCTCTCAAGATCTCTTTCTAGTAGGAATTCTTCTTGATCCATTTCAGATCTAATATCAAACGAGATTTGATTTAGATCAATTCATTCTTCCGTTTTATAGGTATCTAGGCAGGTTCTCTCATAGACTGCATCTTCAATGATTTTTGTTGTGGTATTTTCTAAATCACCTAAAAATAATTTTTCTAAGCTCTCAAAATCTTACTTACAAACATCTGACAGATAATCTTCCAACGACTCCTTCACATCTCCATTTTCAAAGAAAGAATCAATCGTAACTAAAATATTAGAATTCAACTCAAACAACTCAAATTTCAGCTTTCCAAAAGCCTAAGAGTATAAAATCCAACATACCAATTAATTCCAATCTTCTTTCTACAATTTTCCCATGACAAACATCACTTTCTGACTCTATATTCCTCAATAATCCCAAAACTCCATTTCTTATTAAATCTCCTCAAACCCTTTTAAACACCCTTTACAATCTACTAACCCAAATTCCTTTTTATTAATTCCAAAAAGAGTTTTAAGTACCTTTACTTTCTTCTGAAAGATATTTTTCCATTTTGAAATTAATTAATTAATTAATTAATTGTTTCCATTAAGATCTTTTAAAACGGGGTTTTGGGGTTTTGGGGTTTTGGGGTTTTGGGG